CATTGTGAGTAAGGGGGACAAACGGAATGTGGGCCACAGCAGCATTTGAGCAAAAGGATAAACGAGAGTTAGTGTTAGCCCTCGATACCTTTTGTACTTGTACTTTTATATCCTAGTTTAGTGTAATTTGCATCTTGTGTTTGGTTGGGTGTACTTAAATGTGATCTGCAAGAAATCTCCAACACACCAATTGGAGATTGCCTTGGGATTACCCCAAATCCTAGGGATTGCCCCCGATTCCCTCCCCATCCATTCCTAGCTCATTCTGGATGTACTTAAGGAGCTTCAAGCTCCAGTTCTGACAAAACGAAACAGGGGGGAGAATGACTGACAGAGGTGAGGTGACTGACAGAGCAACAAGGTTGGTGAGACTGCTGATGGCGGCAGGGAGAGTCCCGTTGATGAAGTTGATGGAGATGTTGCTGAGGAAAAAAGGGAGCGACGTGGTGTGGGGGCAAAGAGAAAGGAAGTGAGCTGTGGTGACATTTGAGTCGACTCAAAAAAGCTTCCTTCCAACCCAAAGATGCTTCCTTCGAGCCCAAACATGCTTCCTTCCAACCAGATTATGCATGTTTGTTTCCCTTCAGCATGCCCCACCTCAACATCCTACTCTGAACTGAACGTAAACCCTCCTAACAAAACGCTTCCACTCACAGGTTGGTGAGGCTGATGAGATTGCTGATGCTGGCAGGCAGTGTCTGGTTCAGCTGGTTGTTAGCAACTTGCCTGTCAGAAAAGGACAAACATGGACCATTTCAAATAGTGGAATCAACCATTTTGGCTTGCACGATAGGGCTCAGAAAGCATAAGCTGAATTTTGGGATATTCTTGCCTCATGCCTGCCTTGAGCTAGGGATGAGCAAAGGGCGAACACGAACATGTTCGTCTTCGCCCCTTGTCGAACACCCTCTTTTGCCGAACCGAACAGTGTTCGGTTCGGCGAACAGTTTAGGAAAAAACAGGTGTTAGCTGTTCGCCTGTGGAGGCGTGTTCGGACGAACCTCGAACACTGTTCGTGTTCGTCGCGGGCAAATTTCAGCAGCGGCCCGAACACGAACGTGTTCGGTTGAACATCGAACACTGTTCGGCGAACGATTTGAGCTAAAAAACAAAACCTGTTTGGTTCGCCTCGAACACGTTCGAGGCGAACCGAACAGGTGTTCGCCACCTTGCTCATCCCTAACTTGAGCCAACCGAGCCATGAAAGTCGATGCTATGCCACAAGAAATCCAATCTTATACCACGGCAGCACAAAGGAATCACCTCATAAATTTGGTGCCAGTCAGATGGGTTCGAGTCATTTACGCAAGTGCTTGAGTGCCTACAGGTGCTTGAGTGCCTACAGGTGCTTGAGTGCCGAGAGTCGGCTGAAGGAGTCTGGGAGCGACCCATTGAGGCCATTGAAGCTGACGTCACTGGTGGATGGAGAGGAGCAGCAAGAGAAGACAAGGGAGATATTAGGTTCATTGCACGAAACGAGAATTAGAAGCAGGCCTTCGAAACATTAGGACTTAGGGTCGACAAGGTAAACATTAGGTTCGACAAGGAAGACATTAGGTTCGACAAGGAAGACATTATCTTCGACAAGAAAAACATTAGGGTCTACAGAGATGACTTTTGAGTCGACAAGAATCAGAGGTGGTACTGAGAGGGCTCTTGAAGCTGATGTGCATGGGGATCTTTGAAAGAGCGGCAACGAGAGACGACAGACAGAGGAAGAGGCTCGAAATGACCAGTAAGTAGGGGTGCATTGAACGAGATGCAGCGGATGCCACTAGTGAGCGATAGGAGAAGATAGAGGACATAAGGGATGCAAGAGGGTGTGTGTATGTGATGGTTTGAAAAGGAGGGATTTGAAATGAGGGATATGGAAAGGAGATCCTCGAACGCCAGGGATGCAAACCACAGTGAGGAAATGTGTGGTGGAGCATGAGATATGTGTGGTGGAGCATGAGATATGTGTGGTGGAGCATGAGATATGCAAGCCCGGGTCTCACAACACGTTGCCGAGGTTTCAAAATCCTCAACATTGAGATACACTGGCATTATTAGGTTGAGGTCTCACAAGTAGAGGAGGTGGGCGAATTCACCAAAGGACGATGGAATGGATCCGTTGAGGAGATTCTTTGTAAAGTTACTGCATGGTGGGAAGAGGGAAGGGAGGAAAGCACGTGCATAGAACGTAAGGAAGGCATGCGGGCATGCGAATGGAAGTCATGGCGCATAGATTAGGAACTAGGCTACAGCTGTGGAACCACGTCATAACAGCTGAGCTTGGAGACGTCTCAGAACTCAACTTCTATCACATGACTAGACTTACAGTGTGTAGAGTTACATTCCCGTTAACACCAGTCCAGCACCAGATTGAAAATTAAGGTGGAAGCTCCTCACCCTTATGCAACAAGGAGAATAATTTCCGTGAGAAGCAGTAATGTGCTTGGGGTGCGATAACAGACTGATGACTGGTTGGTGTGGTGTGGATGCGTACAGAGAGATGAGATTGGTGAGGCTTCCTAGAGAGTCGGGGATGGAGCCATTGATGGCGTTGCTGGCCAGATTGCTGAGGGTTTGGGCGTGGTGGAAGGTAGTGATGAGTATGGAAAGGAGTGAGAAGTAATGGGATGGCATGATGGGAGGGAATGATGAAAAGGGATGGGTGTGTGGGTGATGACAAGGGATGGGTGTGTGGGTGATGCCAAGGTATGGGTGTGTGGGTGATGAGAAGGAATGGGTGTGTGGGTGATGAGAAAGGATGGGTGAGGGTGACGAGAAGGGATGGGTGTGTGGGTGATGACAAGGGATGGGTGCGTAAGAGGAGAGAATGAACAGTCCACACCACAACAAGAAGAGATAAGCTTGGTGGCTAGGAAGAAATGAGAATGAGGAGTGGAAGGAAGGGGCAGGAGGGTAACTGGTGCACCCAGACCTGCCCGCTGCACCCAGGCCCGGCGCAACTAGGCCCAGAACACCCGGGCCCGGGGCACCCAGGCCTGGCGCACCCAGGCCTGGCGCACCCAGGCCCGGAACACCCGGGTCCGGGGCACCTAAGGTGGACGCTCCCAAGTAAGAGGGGTATTGAGAAGCCGTTGTTGGTTACAGATAAGTGAGAGCTGTGAGTTGTTGCAGTCCCTGGGGCAGAGTGCCGTTGAGAGAGTTGGTGCTGAGATCACTGCAAGGCACGCAAGAGGGCGAGAGGTTGTGCAAGTTGTGTCACACGGAAGCAAGGAACGGAGTGATTGCACTACCACAACTCCTGGATTTGAGGGCACAAGGGAAGGGTGGGTGATGTGGGTGGTGGGTGTGTTGGGCTGGGTTGGGTGTGCTGGAAATGGTGGGAGCACTGACAGGTGGGAGAGGAGGGAGCTTCTGCCGAGGCCCTCAGGCAGAGTGCCATTCAGCTGGTTTCTGCTCAGGTCACTGCAGGTGGAAGGGGGGGAGGATATAGGATACAGTATGGCTGCCTTTTGCCTCATCAGATGCCACGCCAAAGAACGCCACTCCACCAATGTGCTTGTGAGTGAGTGAGCTACAGTATGGCTGTAAATTACTCACCTTACTAGTACCTTCCATGCACCTTCCTCTCACTCTTAAACCGTAAACACACCGCAGACGCGCTTACAGGGTTGAGAGGCGAGTCAAGAGGCCGAGAGATGATGGGATGGAGGCTGACAAGCCGTTCTTGGACAAGTTGCTGTCATGTAGGATGTGGAGAGGGGCGGAGAGAGAGGGGTGATGGGGAGGAGGGATGGAGGATGAAATGCCATGCTTGGACAAGTTGCTGTCATTTACGCAGGGAGGAGAGGGGCGAAGAGGGGCAGAGAAGGTGGGGTGGTGGGGAGGGGGAATGGAGGATGAAATGTTCTTCATGGAAAGATTTCTTCAGTAACACGGGCAGAGAAGGTGGGGGGAGCGGAATGAGGAGAGGGGGGATGAGGGAGGTGGGGTGGAGGGGGGAGGGGTGGGGGGGCTAAGGAGGTGGACAGGATGGAAGCAAGGAAGATATGTTTCTGCACAATTACGAAGTGGAAGTGATTCAGAAAATGCAAAGATTTGTCAGTCTAATGAAATTATGGGTTGGTGTGGTGACAGACCAAATAGGGCTGACATGACAGGAGTATGCCGCTGCTGTCTGTCAGGATTCTCTCAGCTCAGAACACAAATGAAACGGTAGTGTGCAACCAGCTTCAAACCTTGACTGGTTCTTTCCTTCAGAGAAAAGTACACCTCATGCTTTGACCACCTCGTACATCGACTCAAGTCTCGTCAGAAAGCCAAGGCTCCATGGGATGCTGCCAGTCAAGCTGTTGTTGCTCAGGTCACTGAATGTTAGGGAAACAAACAGGCACAGCAACGTGCATGGGGTTTTGAGATGAGTAGAGAAAGGAACAATAGATAGTGCCTCTGATAAGGTTCTCAATCTCACTGAAGCAGCAGCAGCTCAGCAGGAATGGCTTTGGCAGGTTGAAGCAAAGCTGCCTTCGCTGCTGCCAAAAGCCTCTTCGTCATGATCACGCATGCTGCACTCTCTTCCTGTCTTGACAAAATGTATCTTCAACGGCCATTCGATCAACCCTGCCAGCCGTGTGGGCATAGCAGATCATTCTTGAGCGGAGCTCGCAGTGGTGTGTGAGGATGCCTTTCAGAGTGAACAGGGTGAGAGAGTGGCGGCTTACAGGGCGGTGAGCGACTTGAGTCCGCCCAAAGAGGCTGGGACAGTTGAGTTGATGTGGTTGGACGAGAGATCTCTGTCGAAGCAGAAAAGGGAGGGAGGCAAGGGAAGCACTTGATTACTGAACAGAGGCACTTTGGGAAGCTTTGAAATGTCAAATGAAGAGAAAGTTAGCATGTCACTGAAGTTGCGCATCGAGGGAGGTCCCAGACGGAGGCTATGAACGAACGCCCTCCCCCTGTCACTAGGAATGCAGGTGAGAAGGCACTCGAAGCCACGGCCGCGATCTCGTAGGTGCCTCAACAATCGGCCAGGGTTCTGTGTCACGAGCATGCGCATTTTGAGTCTCACAGGTGTCGTGGTCTCACAGGTGTCGTGGTCTCACAGGTGTCGTGGTCTCACAGGTGTCGTGGTCTCACAAGTGTCGTGGTCTCACAGGTGTCGTGGTCTCCCAGGTGTCGTGGTCTCACAGGTGTCGTGGTCTCACAGGTGTCGTGGTCTCACATGTGTCGTGGTCTCACAGGTGTCGTGGTCTCACAGGTGTCGTGGTCTCGCAGGTGTCGTGGTCTCGCAGGTGTCGTGGTCTCGCAGGTGTTGTGGTCTCGCAGGTGTCGTGGTCTCACAGGTGTCGTGGTCTCACAGGTGTCGTGGTCTCACAGGTGTCGTGGTCTCACAGGTGTCGTGGTCTCACAAGTGTCGTGGTCTCACAGGTGTCGTGGTCTCCCAGGTGTCGTGGTCTCACAGGTGTCGTGGTCTCCCAGGTGTCGTGGTCTCACATGTGTCGTGGTCTCACAGGTGTCGTGGTCTCACAGGTGTCGTGGTCTCGCAGGTGTCGTGGTCTCGCAGGTGTCGTGGTCTCGCAGGTGTTGTGGTCTCGCAGGTGTCGTGGTCTCACAGGTGTCGTGGTCTCACAGGTGTCGTGGTCTCGCAGGTGTCGTGGTCTCGCAGGTGTCGTGGTCTCGCATGTGTCGTGGTCTCGCAGGTGTCGTGGTCTCGCAGGTGTCGTGGTCTCGCAGGTGTCGTGGTCTCGCAGGTGTCGTGGTCTCGCAGGTGTCGTGGTCTCGCAGGTGTCGTGGTCTCGCAGGTGTCGTGGTCTCGCAGGTGTCGTGGTCTCGCAGGTGTCGTGGTCTCGCAGGTGTCGTGGTCTCGCAGGTGTCGTGGTCTCGCAGGTGTCGTGGTCTCGCAGGTGTCGTGGTCTCGCAGGTGTCGTGGTCTCGCAGGTGTCGTGGTCTCGCAGGTGTCGTGGTCTCGCAGGTGTCGTGGTCTCGCAGGTGTCGTGGTCTCGCAGGTGTTGTGGTCTCACAGGTGTCGTGGTCTCACAGGTGTCGTGGTCTCACAGGTGTCGTGGTCTCACAGGTGTCGTGGTGTCTCAGAACAGGGACCCTGCCTCACGAGTATGGTGTCTCAGAACAGGGACCCTGCCTCACGAGTATGGTGTCTCAGAACAGGGACCCTGCCTCACGAGTATGGTGTCTCAGAACAGGGACCCTGCCTCACGAGTATGGTGTCTCAGAACAGGGACCCTGCCTCACGAGTATGGTGTCTCAGAACAGAGACCCTGCCTCACGAGTATGGTGTCTCAGAACAGGGACCCTGCCTCACGAGTATGGTGTCTCAGAACAGGGACCCTGCCTCACGAGTATGGTGTCTCAGAACAGGGACCCTGCCTCACGAGTATGGTGTCTCAGAACAGGGACCCTGCCTCACGAGTATGGTGTCTCAGAACAGGGACCCTGCCTCACGAGTATGGTGTCTCAGAACAGGGACCCTGCCTCACGAGTATGGTGTCTCAGAACAGGGACCCTGCCTCACGAGTATGGTGTCTCAGAACAGGGACCCTGCCTCACGAGTATGGTGTCTCAGAACAGGGACCCTGCCTCACGAGTATGGTGTCTCAGAACAGGGACCCTGCCTCACGAGTATGGGCATTTTGAGTCTCACAGGTGTCGCAGCTCGGGGAGCACCCAAAGGCCGCCCGGGATGGATCCGTGCAAGGTGCTGTCGCTCAGATCCCTGGCAGGGAGTGAAGGGAGGGCGCAAGGAAGCAGAACAGGTTATGAAGTCCCGAGGGCACGGAGAGGGGAGAGATGGCTTTGAGTTGAGTTGGCGGTCATCTTGGGACTTATCCGTTCAACGAGCTGTCAATCAGGTCACTGGTAGTCCACGTGAGCAAGATATGGAAACGGGGCATGGGGGCACGGGGCGAGGCCCCGGGGGCAGGGCATGGGACGGGCACAGGCGCAAGGCATGGGACAGGGCATGGATGTGTGTGGGCCACGTGTGTGGACCATGTGTGTGGACCATGTGTGTGGACCATGTGTGTGGACCATGTGTGTGGGCCATGTGTGTGGACCATGTGTGTGGGCTGGCCATGAACTGTAGGGGGGAAAGGCATGCGGGACGGAACAGAGAGGGGAAGTAAAGGCATGGTTTCCAAAAGCAAGGCATTCGAGGCATCTCATCTCATTCTGTGTGTGTCTATCCACCAACGGCCAAGGCTCTCACACGCCCTCAAGCGCTCACACACGTTTTGCCCTGCCCATCCACCTTTGTGTCGACTTTTGAGTCGACTCAAAGGTCAGCCTGCTATCCAACCTTGCCATGCTCGCAGAAAGCCTGTTTCCCTCAGAACCTCTCTCAAACTCCTGACCGTCCGCACTTTCTCGATTCACAAAGTCTCAAGCCTCTCAGATCTATCGTGCTTCCAATCCAACTCCCGAGCCTCTCAAGCCTCTCATGTCTCTCAAGCTTCCATCTCTCAAGCCTCCCAAGCCGCCAACTCACAGGCGCCTGAGCTGCGTCAGCAGGCTGAGAAACAACGGCGTTGTGCCCCATAGGCTGTTGTGACTCAGATCGCTGGAGAAGGAAGGGGGAGAGGAGCGCGGGAGAGGAAAGGATGAGACAGTGGGAGAAAGAGGGCGCAGAAAGAGTGGGGGGTATGGTGTGAGAGGCGGATGGAGGGAGATGGAGTGTATGGGGTACGGAGAGCAGGAGGAGAGCGCAGGAGGGAAGGCTGGGAGGGAGGAAGACGGGTAGATGGGAGAGGGGAGGCTATGAAACAGAGGACGGCGGAAGGGAAGGGAGGAAAGCAGGGAGGAGGAGAGGTAGGGAGCTGATGGAAGGAGGGAGAGAGTGGGGTCTTACAGGAGAGAGAGGGAGGTGAGGGCACTGAATGTGGAGGGGATGGAGCCACTTAGAGAGCAGTTCGCGAGGTTGCTGTTTTGGGACGAAACGCAGGGCATGGAGCAGAGAAGAAAGGGGATTAATGTAGGACAAACGAGAATGGAAAGGGGACAGGGCGCAACAGCTTGAAACTCTAGACGGCAGATGAGCGGTCATTATTGGGGAGGGACGATAGGTCCCCCAAGAGTTTAAAGTGTGCTAGTGGTGACGCTTACAGGAGAGTGAGGGTGGTGAGATTGCCAATCTCCCTGGGAATGCTGCCATTCAACAGTGTGTTGCTCAGGTCACTGCTCATGAGGTACATGCCCCCGACATGGCATACCATGGCAAGGCATGGCACAACAAGCCATGCCGCACGTGTCATGCCCATATGACATAACATCAAGTATCGCATGTGTTGTGTCTCAGTGAACAAACAAGAAAGCGTTCTTTAATGAGGCATGGTGAACACAACATGACAAAACGCTAACAGGGGAACATCACTACGCATGTCCTGGGATCCTTGCACATGGCGATGGGTCCGGTTGCCGTAGATGGAAACCTGCAGCTGACCATGGAAAGTCACCATGTCACTACCAATTGCCACCGCCATGCCTCACATTGCCACCACCATGCCTCACATTGCCACCACCATGCCTCACATTGCCACCACCGTGCCTCACATTGCCACCACCGTGACTCACATTGCCACCACCGTGCCTCACATTGCCACCACCGTGCCTCACATTGCTACCACCGTGCCTCACATTGCCACCACCATGCCTCACATTGCCACCACCGTGCCTAACATTGCCACCACCGTGCCTCGCATTGCCACCACCATGCCTCACATTGCCACCACCGTGCCTCACATTGCCACCACCGTGCCTCACATTGCCACTACCGTGTCTCACATTGCCACCACCGTGCCATTGCTGTCACAAGTCACCCCTTGCACTTGGCTGCAGTCCGCCCCTCCACTCCACCCTGTGGGCGCCACTCCCCATGCCCCCGCGCTGCCCGCTAGTGCTTGTGCTGCTGGAAGAGAGGGACGAAGGGAGGAGCACGGCACACACGGCGACACAAGTGAATGTGGGACCAGGAGGGGAGGTGGGGAAAAGCAGCACCCCAGGCCGCAAGGTGATTGGTCAAGAGCATTCTAGTCTTGGATCTTCAGAAACGGCTGGGAAGTTGGAATAGCAGAACTGGAGGAGACTTGGGAGGAGAGCATTTGTTTGGCATGGCGAGAGAGGAGCTAATTAGCATGGGAAAGAGCAGCTGCTTAGCATGGGAGGAAGAACCAGAGAGTTCATGATGCGAGCATGGATGCATGGCATGCGTGACGTGTGCATGGATGGATGCATGGAGATACCACTGTGAGTTAGAAAAGTGCGTAGTGTTGCTCCGTGCTCACACATCTCATCTCATGCCATCACGCATCCCATGACTGTCAGTACAGCGCATCACATTGCATCCCATCCCATTTCCTCCATCAGTCCATCCTCACCCGATACCTTGCGGCGCATCCCATCCCAACACTTCCATCCGATCCCATCTTTTCCATTCCATATCATCAAACTCTTTCCATCACGTCTCATCCTTTCCATATCATCCAATCCTCCTTCCCATCCCGTCCTTTCCATCCCATTCCATCTTTTCCATCATCCCTTCCTCTCCTTCCCATCCCATCCATCCATCCCGACCCATGTTTTCCATTCCATCACTTCCGTCCCTCCCATCTGATCCTTTCCATATCATCCATTCCAACCTTTCCATCCTAGCCCATCCCATCTTTTTCATACAATCCTCCCTTCCATATCATCCAATCGTTCCATCCCATCCGATCCTTCCATCATTTTTCCGTCCAACTCCATCCCATCCTACCATTTCCGCCCCATCCCATCTTTTGCATCCCATCCTTCCATCCCATCCTTTCCGTTCCCATTCCATCACTTCCATCACATCCCTCCTTCCATCCCATCCCATCTTTCCATCCCATCCTTTTCATCCTTTCCTCCCATCCCATCCTTCTATCCTTTCCTTTGCATCCCATTCCATCCTTCCCGCCCCATTCCATCCTTCCATCCCATCCTTTCCATGTAACCCTCCGCCTCATGGAAAGGCTTCAAGCAACCTGCAATGCCATGGTACCCCCTTGCATCCGCTTCCGGCTTTCGCCTTTTTCCATCTCACCGTCTTCCTACCCCCTCCTACAATTGAGTCACCTTGTACTGTTTCTATCCGTGCAACGTGTTGTGCAGTGTGCACGGGGAGGCTCGATGCGAGGATCGTCGCGAAAAGAAGAAAAAACATCGCTTGAAAGAAGCACGTCGCGCGTCTATCGATGCAACGGCTTCCGTTTGAGAGTAGCGCGCCAAACCCCAGCGGCCTTCGCTTAATTTTTTGGCTCGGTTTTCGTTTTGCGACGAAGAATAGGAAAGACTACTCGAACGATTCCCGTATTGGAAGGGAATTTGGGGCTGAAGTGGAACTTTATTTTGCTTCTGCTCGCTCGCTGGTATCGCGCCGCGAGATTCTCGTACCCGCGCTACGCAGAAGAGGGAAATGGTCGCGTGGGGCTAGTACGACTACGAGTGAGCTCAAAGGAAGGTAAAGAGGTACAACGAGGCTCAATGTATAGCGGCTTCTAAAAGCATTGCGTAAGGACAGTACTATTGCACTGTAAGCGTAGGAAGATGGATAGTGGAAGATGGACTATTGCGTGTTGTTGTGGATTTCCTCTGGGAATTAGTGGAAGGATAGGTTGCAAATACGAGAGAAGTGGCGTGCAATGCAAGTGCAAGGGCTTGCTGTTGTTGAGGTGGGGAGGGGGCTGAAATCGAAAGACGGCGCGAAGGCTAGACGAAGTACATACGATGGTTTCGCAGATGGCTCGCTTGGAAATCTTCGGGTGGGTCCAGTGTTCGTTTTCAGTTCATCCGTCGTTGCGCAAGACGATTCCAAACGGTGCACAACGGTTATTTGGCCTCACCGTTTCGCATTGTGACGCAACAAGAGTAACCGCACAGAACGAACGAAGGACGAACGTGCTGGACCCGCCCGCTGAACGAATTTCCTCTCAGTCGCCCGTCACAAATGACACATCTCGCTGACGATTATTGGTGCGGATTGTTAAACAAGAAGCGTTACCACGTGAACATCCAGGTTATGAAGAGAGTTCGCTTCACTTCCCTTGCTTCTCACGTGAATAATTGGACCCAAGATCAATTGCCGTGGAAGACGCTGGAAACAAATTCACATGTGGGAGAGCATGTAACGCGTTTGCATCGCAGGTAGCCGTTGGATTTGTGCGCACTTCAATCCTCTAGTCTCGTGCGCACTTCAATCCTCTAGTCTTCCGTTTGAAAGTACTCTCGCGCTCACCACACCAAATTCTCTGGTTTTTAGCTACGCCAGAAGAGGTGTACTTTCGACCCTGCTGACGCAGGCAGTGCAATGAGTCAGCATAATAGAGCTCAGCGGACGAAAATTGCCGCCCATTTTCGCGGTTCAGAACGGACAACCCCCCTCCTCGAGGTTGACGACCCCACGACGACCTCCGCGTGGAAAGCCCAGGCTATCTGGCTGGGCCCGGTGCTCGTGAGCCCTCGGGATGGTCGACGACCTGTCGACCTAGGGTTCCGCTGAGACAATCCCGAGAAGGACGTCTCAACCGCGTGTCACAATCCCAGCTTGGCAAGTCGGGCCGCGATGATCGCCACGCGGCCACAAAGGGACGCCCGAGATAGTCCCCTGGATGGCGGGGCCACCGAGGTCTGCCAGGTTGGACACGACGGGCCAACGGAAGGTCGAGGTGCTTCACGTGGGAGATTTTCGCGCGGGAACGTGGCAAGGTCGGTGCATACCACACGGCGTTCATCCAACGGTTGCCCACATGCGCAAGGCGAAATCCGGCCGTCCACTATCTATGGCTATGTGCAGTGGACACTGAGGCTGCGGGAATGTCGGCGTCGACCAGAAGAGCATCATTGTGGTGCCACTCGGCAGTGTCTCCCACCCTCGAGCTACCGCGCTGCACCTAATTCGGGACCACACCACGTGCCGCACGAAAGAGCCAGCGTGTAGCAGCCACAAAAAGAGCATGATGAGCGAAGCGCTTCAAGCAAGCAGCCCTGCACGCCTGGTCGCACGTCGGACACGGCGCCGCCGCACGAGCGTACATGCATGGCGGCGTCTTGCACTGGGGTTTGCGTGGAGCGCCAAGTGGTGCGGAGTCGCTCACGACCATACCCATCCGTGGTCCCCGTAATTGTCGCTCATTCTGCCTGCCATTCTGTGTGCGTTCCATCCGTAAGCTGGCACTTAGCTTTTTTTTACCATTGACTTGACGGCTGGCACTTTGATTTTTTATGGACGCGTAACGTCGGTGTCGTCAGAGTAGGCAGACGTGGTCGCCGACGTCTCGTAGGATTGTCTGCTGTGCCGACCTGCCTGAAACCGCCGACATAGAATACGCATGTAGTAGTTTATCGACCTCACCACGCCGACTTCCCATCGCCAGACCCTAGGTCGCCGTATCATGGCCAGAGGACAGCCTCGATAGACACCACCGCAAACCAACCCACCGCCCGCTGATGTCGACATGACGGACGTTCCGAACCCCGCTAGCCAGGGTGAGGATGTCCGCTCGGTAGACCGTACACCGACCAGTAACCCCTCGTCGACTTTGCCGTTGCTTTACGATCTCGACGCCCTAGCCCAAATCCCGCAGAGAGAGTTCACCAAGGACGTTCCGCCCACGCCCATAGGGGAGTTCACGAAACCACGCAAAACGTCAACGCCGACGGATGCAGGGGAGGCTAGTGAGAAGATGTGAACGAGGATGAATTACTAAGGAATGGAAGTGATACAAATACGCAACACTAGAAATGTGTACCCTATATAGGCTACCCCACTATAGCCTACACAATATTATAATTTGACACACCCCCATAGGCAAAGTGGGGGAGAACAAGGGGTCACAAGACCAGTCAAGCAAAGCAGACAAAGCTCAGGGTGGATCACAACGTCACCATACAGTCCGAGCACAAGGTCAAGGCCACAAGGCCAGTTCACATGCAGGAGTACACATATATATATAAGGCTAAACAAGCAAGAGAAGGTATATATATATGTAAGAGTACAAGCAAGGTCAAGGGGTGAGCAAGTGAGGCAAGACAGGCACAAGACCCAGCTGAGTGCAGAAGCGCTGATGATCACAAGGCAGAAGTGCCTTGGTGAAAACATCAGCAGTGTTGGCCTCAGAGGCCACGTACGCAAGTCGCAACAGACCACGCTGCTGCAACTCACGAGCAAGAAAGTAGCGGAGAGCAATGTGCTTCGTTCTGTGCTCCAGTCGCTGCTCCCAACACAAGGCCAGCATGGCCTTCTTGTCTACGTACAGTACTGGAGGAGAACGAGGCGGCTCTCCAAGGTCAGTCAGCAGGTAGGTGAGCCAGCGAAGCTCCTATGCAGCAATGGCCCCGGCGTAGATCTCAGCCTCACAACTAAAGCCGAGAACAGAAGACGAGCGAGTAGCCCGCCACGAAACAGAGCCGGAACCAAGATTGAAGGTG